TACACATATGTATTTATATACATATATATGTATTTATATACATATATATGTATTTATATATATTCATATATATTTATATACATATATACGTATTTATATATATTCATATATATTTATATTCATATATACGTATTTATATATATTCATATATATTTATATTCATATATATGTATTTATATATATTCATATATATGTATTTATATATATTCATATATATTTATATACATATATATGTATTTATATATATTCATATATATTTATATTCATATATATGTATTTATATATATTCATATATATTTATATTCATATATATGTATTTATATATATTCATATATATTTATATTCATATATATGAATTTATATATATTCATATATATTTATATTCATATATATGTATTTATATATATTCATATATATTTATATACATATATGTATTTATATATATTCATATATATTTATATACATATATATGTATTTATATATATACATATATATTTATCTATATATATTTATATATATAAATATATATATATATATATATGTATATAAATTAAAACTCTGATGAACCAGATTCTACAAAAACATTACATTTAAATTTTTATAGGTTTTCATCATCATTTGATGTATTTGCACTCATTGTTTCTACTTTTAATGTTCATTTTAGATGTGTGTTTTCCTTTCTTGTTCACATATATACATTTTATTTTTAGCTTTGCTTTAAAGTTCTTGTTTTGTGATTTGTACATTTGTGGGTTAAAATAAAGTTGAACTGAAGCTCGTCTCTTCTTTAAACATGTTTGAGGGAAATATTCCTGAGATCCAATAGTTTTGTGTCTTTTTATGATTTTCAGCTGAGTTAACAGTCATTAAAGTGAAAACAGGATTTCATGATGAAGCTGGCACCGTTTTTTTTTTTTTTTTTTTTAATCTTCACCGCTCTGCTGGTCTCACTGATCCTCTCCTCCGGAGAGGAGGAGGCTGGGAGGCTCATCCTCCCAGCTCCGAGCTCAGCTGGTGACTCCAGAGGCCGTTCCAAGACACCAGCCGCGCGTAATCATGAAGGCCCGACACGCGCAGACAGGCGGACAGAGACGTGTCTGCGACGAACGGTGGAAGAGATTTTAAAAAACATTTTACGTGTAAAAAAATAATAATCATTTTTAAATCGCTTCAGCAATTTTTTTAAACATTTTTTGTATAAAAACAAAATATTATTTTATTTAAAAATCGCTTCCAGCGTCCGTCCCAGACTGTCCAGTCCGCCTGACTGCCAGGTGGGATCAGGATTCAGCCTTCATGATTACGCGCGGCCGGGGTCTGGCAACGGCCATCTGCGAGTCCCCATCTCCAGCTTCGCAGTGACCTGCGGAGCTCTGAGCACACAAGGCTGGTATCCGGAACCCGAGCCTCCGAGTCGGCACATCGAAGGATTTTCCGCGGTGACCAGCTGAACTTGGAGCCGGGGAGATGACGCCCTGCCCGGCTTGGCGCTCGGAGGCTCCGGAGGGAGGATCGGGGTACAGCAGCAGATCTCTATCCAGCTTGCTCTGAATTATGTTGTCGGCCACCAAGCACAAAAAATGCCAGCACATCAGCATTAGACCAAGATGTTGTCAGTATTGTTTTTAAAATCTTTAAAATAAGTCCAGCCACTGCTCCAGGCCGAGAAATTGCAAATGGCGGATTATTGTTTTGAAACGTTTCTGAAGGATCCAGTGACTCCGCCCCCGACCAATCAGTGACCGACAGTGTTCTGACGTCACGTTTTTGTACCTCTTCGTACCGGTTAGAACCACAGAGCCAAGGGTACTGAAAATAGTAACAGGTGCTAAGTACCGGTACTAATGGAAAAGCCTCAGAACCGGGCCAAGTAGGGTCGAGTCGGCCCGTACCGGTACTAATGGAAAAGGGGCATAACATTACTAAAAGAAAAAGGGTAATTTAACCTACTTTGGCCAAGAGTTGCTCCACTTCAGTCGTCATGGCCACAACCATGTTATCTTGAGATGGATCAAAAGAGTCCGATCTGATTCAAAAAGAAAACTAATGTTCAGGTTAAGTATATTTTGGCATTTGATATCAGCCAAATATATAGTGTTTAGTGTACTGAGTGCACCATAATCAGTTCAATCACTAAGCAGAAGTAGAACATTTATACACTCTGATTGTAAGTTTGTAACGTACACACATGTTAGAAGTATAAAATATATAGCATGCATCAGGATATAAAATATACAACTCAAATTTTGTACTACTTATATGTTTTCAGTTAAAATGTAATTTCAAAGGTTAAATTAAAACCAGTATTTGGTAATTAGGTTTAGCAATAACTTCAGAGTCCTAGAACAAGAACTTGTTTAATATATGTTTGCAGATAATCTGTGATTCGGGGTGCGTTTGTTCTGTTACACTGTAGTTAGATTATGCTGCTACCTGTTCCTTGTCTGCAGGTCTTGGTTACTGCTGCTGTAGCTGGTGCATAGCTTACTAAAAGAGACCAGCTTGAGGTCCAGCTCATTCCCCAACTGTCTGGCCTGTTTACGTAAATCTGAGTGAAGAAATTGTAAAACAAACTAAAAAAACATGTTAAAATGCAAACAAATACGTCAAATTTGACCAGAAAGAAGGATGAGTACAGCAGCACTATGCAGACAGAATGATTCTGATATAAAACAGCATAAAGTAGATAAATTAAGGGTGAAATAAAATCTGCTTTTGCAGTGGCTGCCCATGTACTTATGGAGAAGCTTACCATTCAATATGTGCACTGAATATAAATGGACTGTACTTATATACATTTCATCTTGTCAAGATACTCAAAGCGCTTTAAAATACAATCTGTGTCCTCATTTATCCATTCATACAGCACTCTACTAGATCTGTACAGAGAATAATCTGAGCTTTATCACATTCATACACCGATGGGACACACATCGGAGGTAATGAGGGGCAGTGTCTTGGCTTTGGAATAGCATATACATTTTTAGTACATTATACCTGCTTTTGTTGTGTTTTAATATGTATATTTTATTGACCTTTTAATTGATTTTATATTTTATGCTGTATATTGCTATCTTGCCTTGAATGCAAAGCACTTTGGTCAACCTCAGCTGTTTTTAAATGTGCCCTATAAATAATTTATATATTTTTTAATGTCAGAATGATATTAAAATTAATCAAATGAACGATGACCTTAACATCTGCGTTTAAGCATCCTGGTAATTTATTTTAAGACTAAAAAAAACAACCAAAAAAAAAAACAACCTAGAGTAAACTTTCCTGGATTACAATACAGTTTGGTTTTATACAGTTTAATGACTTCTAACTAATCTGACAGCAAAGGTAAACATTACGCTTCGTGTGGTAGAAACAGGTCAGCAAGAAGGGAAAGATCGAGTTTTCAGAGTTAGCCAAGAAGCTAACAGGTTAGCATAACAATTATTAAGTATCTTCTTTAAAATTGAACAACGTCACGTGCTGCTTACGTCAACTGGTAAAAACTGTTTACCTACATTTTCTGAGAAACTTACAGAACAAAAAAGTTATTCATTGTTTTATACTGAATACTTTTGACATGATTTACCTTCCCAGTAGTTACTGTTGGTTGCCATGGTTGTTGTTGACTTGACACGTCATCGCCAGCCGTCAAGGAGAAAAAAGTGTCGCATTTCTTCTGTTGCCCCACAGCGCCCTCTTGTGGCATCAGACAGCTCCAACACTCTTTTACAGCCTGTCACCAACTCTCATTAAAGGTTTTCTACTTAATTTAAAAGTTGCTTTTAAACCCATTTAAATCCAAGTTTAAAATGTTACAATAGATCCTCTTAGGTGACGTTCAGATTACGTGAGATTAAAAAAAACATTTGGGGAAATTGCACGCTGTTGAAATGTTATTGTTTTACAGGCAGATGTTTACTTCAAAGTTCATTTTATTTTTTGGCTATTTTATATATTTACAGATTTAAGATTTTTAAAGATTCTTTAACAAAAACAGAATAGCTGTTTGTGTATTTTTTGAGTAACACCTAAAATGTAATATGAAATTACATGTCTTCATATCATTCCTGTTCTTCCAAATAAATTTTAAGGAGATGTTGGAAAACTCTGAAGCTTTAGTAATCACGTTAATGTTGTTGAGACAGTTTTTATTTGCAGAGATGTGCTTTCATAATGCAGTTTGTGTAGGTACTGACTAAAAAGCCAAGTAATGTTCCCTTGAAGTGTTGAAAATGTATTAAATTACCCAATTTGACATTGTTTAGCTGATTATTTAATGCAGAATACACATTTTTATATAAATTCTATAGTTTTGCATACTTTTTTAAAATCACATTTTTCAAGTTCAGCCTGGTTAGTTCATATCAGTGAAAACTTCACTTTTTTATAAACTAAAAATAAATACTTATCTGATTTGGTTTCAAAATGTAACTTACATATGTACCCTGAGCCTAAAACTGAAATGTTTGAATATCGTTGTTTTATTTATGGTAATGTCATGGTGTTTTCTGAGCAGAGAATCAGTACAGAAAATGAAAACTGAAGGTAACACGTCATTATTGTGAATCTTATTGCTCATTCTCTTTATTCATCTTCTTGAACACAGGCAGTCATGGATATCACAGTAACAACAAGACTGGTTGTTGTGATGATGTAGAAGAAAATGAGGTCAAGGAGATGAGAAACAGCAACAAACTCTGCGGCGCATCCATCACTGTTCTGCAGCAAACTTCAGAAGACGAGGCCTTTTATTTTCATCGATTCAGCAATTTGTTAAATCTCCCTTCTGTCGTTCCTATTTTCTGTCTTTCTCAGATCTTTCCTTGATTTGTGGCGTTTCCTTTTATGAGGAGCCACTGACGTCAGTAAAACACCTGAAGACCAGTGCCAGATCCTGATTTGAAGCAGCAGTGTTCAGGAGTAGGAGGAGGATGTTGTGAGAGAGGATGAAGAAAGAAGGAGGAAGCAAGGGAAAGAAAGAAGAAGAGGAGGTAGGGAGGTATGAAGAAAGTCCTTCCCTCTCAGTGCTGGATCCTCCTGATGGACTGAATCTGGGGAGTCTGGGCATGGGAACCGAACTCACGGTAACACTTGTACTCTCCTCCGTGACAGTCACACTCCATGATGTACTGGTGGCCACGGTAACCAGGATACTGGTAGCACACGAAGCTGCAAGAAAACTCTGCAGTCAAACACTGAGGGTTCTGCTTCCTTGTAAAGTTTCAGGTGATCGTTCAGATCGACTTACGCTCCGCTGTGAACCTGCATGGATCCGACCTCGTTGTTCATCCAGCCCATGGCCTGCAGAGAGGGGTAGTCATCGCACAGCTCGAACTGACGGCCCATCATGTTCTCCGTCTCGAAGATGGTCATACGAGACTCCTTGTGGCTCTGTGTAAAACAGGAAAAACGAGCTTAAGCTCAGCTTGAGGTGAAGCTTGCTGTGGATGGTGCGACGTCTCGTGTTGAACCTACGGCGCAGCAGATGGGTCTGAAGGACATCATCCTCTCGATGCGGTAGGAGTTGCTGCCGCTGTAGGCCTCAAAGCGAGGGTAGTCTCCCTTCTCCAGCACAAACTGCTGGCCACAGAAGCTGGAGTGCTCGTAGCCCACCCAGCTGTGAGGCGTAAAGCAAAGAAAACATCAAACTATTAATCTTAACAAAGATTTTATTTTAACGTGAAGTCGAACGGATACCTACGCGCCACACTCGACCTTCAGAGAGCGGATATTCTCCATCCCACACTCCATGATGTTCTGGCAGCATGCAGTGAACTCCATACGCCGGCCCTGGAAGTACTCCTGGTCGTACACAGTGATCTGAAATAAACAAACACAAAAACTGATTATTTACGTCTATCCATAAAACGAATATGTTAGCCGAAGCGTGGCGCGTACCTTCCAGGGACCCATGGGCATGGGGTTCGTCAGAGCCATCTTGTCCTTTTTGTTTCAGCAGTACCTGTGAAGAAAACACCATCAGGATAAAAAGTCACTCCATAAATCTCTCTTTTTCCACATTTATTTGTCAGCACATTTGATCTCATATTAATTCCCAGGGAACGTCAAAAAGAGACAGTTTGGTTGTTTTAATCTATTGTTAGCTCTAACCCTGACCCGTTCTCACCAGACTGAACTGATGAATTCCTTTAGAGACACAAACCTAATGCTCACAGATTAGTAAACTGGGACTGTTGGTGACCATTTTAACTACCTACCCAAACTAGAGAGCGGTGTGGCGCAGGGTTCCACTGAACAGCCTGCAGAAACATTGTGTACGGGGGTATATATACACCGCGGGGTGCCAGGGGCCGTGGGGGCCGGCACGCCTGGCCTCAAGTCAGCACTTTGCTTTGGGCTTTGCTTTGTTATGAGGACCACAGAGGGGTTAACACACAAACACACACCGATTCATGCACAACACAAAGAGACCTCATGGCGTCACACACGCTGTGGTTAATTTACATGTTAGAGGGAAAACAGGACATGTGTCCACAGTGGGAGGTGGATTTAAAAAAAAAAAAAAAAAAACATATACAGTATATTTAAAAAGATTGTGAGCTGAAGATGAAAGTACCTGCAGCAGGATTCAAGCAGCGCTGGTCTGTATTGTTAGCAAAATATCTCATGAACCAGCGGACAGATTTTAATAAAAACAATCCTTGGATGTACATCTGCATAACCAACTAACAAGTAGAATTGACTGCTTTCACTGAGTATGTTACTCATGAAGAAAGTTGAGATGGTGACCACGCATCCTGGGAGATTAGAAGAAAAGCTTGAAGGACTGGCTCTAAATGCCAATAAAAACCCTTATTGTGGATGTTTCAGGCCGCCAGTGAACATTGTAAACATTTTAAACATTTTAAACATTTTAAATGAGGCAATGGGTGTCTTTAAAAAACTTTCAACTAGGGACAATATTGGATTTTTGGCTGATATCTGATATGCCAAAATGTTGACATTTCTTTAGCCGATACCCGATACCAATATCGATATTTTGTCCTCCTAGACCTACTTACAGAGTCTACATAGCTTTCTCTGCTGTGGAATTAAAATACTACATTATTCTACATGATCTTTGTCAATTTGGTCTGCTACTAAATGCAGATGCAAAAAAGGAGCTAAAAATGATGGAACACTTCAACTTGGATTATGTTTAATGTCAAATTTATTCATGACATTTACTCTCTCTAACACAAGGACAACACTTGAACAGTGCAAATTTGTAAATGTTCACAAATCTAAACTCAACGGCGTGCGTGACGTCATAATGTTGTGCTGGCGCTGCAGGCATCCTTGTCACTGGGTTGTCATACAAAAACAGCACATTTTATATCGGTGAGTTATTTTGATGGAATGGCCGATGTCCGATATTTAACTTTATCGCTAATATCGGCCGATCCCGATACCATTCCGATAATATTGTGCATCCCTACTTTCAATCTGTCCGAAATGAGTTAAACTTTTTGATTTTACTTTGTGGTTTTCTGAATGAAGGGCAGCAAAGTGATTAGCGGTGAAGTGGCAGTGAGACCATGAGAAAGGCTCCGTCGGCCGGTCCAGGCAGTTGTTTGGCATCATTCATTCATTCATTCATTCATTCATTCATTCATTCAACCATTATTTATGCAGGTTAGTCTCAATGAGCCACAACGACTCATTTACAAGAGAGACCTGTTTTAGACAAAGAACACAGATGAGTTATACAGACAACAATAGACAATCATAAAACAAACCTCTGAGCTGCAGCTGGCAGCGTTAGCACAGCTGATTATATTTACACAGGAAACACACAGGTGGACAGGACTCGAGAAGAAACCAGCTGATGTGAACTGTTTTGTGAAGGAGGTACAGCGCACATTTTTCAGAAAAATTTCAATGCATCAGTTTAACATCTAGTTTCTGTGGTTAGAATTTGAAATAGCACTAAAGCTGAACAGATCTTTCACCCTGTCACTCCTGTTGTTGAACAAAAAACATTTAGGAACGGTTTACTGAGGTCAGCACATTGCCCAGACTCCCTGTCTGTGTGTGTGTGTGTGTGTGTGTGTGTGTGTGTGTGTGTATGTGTGTGTGTACATCTCTACATTATTTTACAATCAGGTCAACCACAGAATTAGGACAAGGAATGTACAAAACATAAATCACAGCATTGTCTGAACTTAAAGTGGATTTATTCAGATCTAAATGCAAGACAGAACTATGTGTGTATGTGTGTGTGTGTGTGTGTGTGTGTGTGTGTGTGTGTGTGTGTAACAGTGTGTGTGTTTTTGCTGATGAAAGCAGCGGCTCAGACATGACAAAAGGACGAGCTAACTCAGCAGACTGACGCGAAGAGCTCACAGTAACCATATACAACCCAAATTCTGAAAAATAAAACAATAATAAAATAAATAAATAATATTAAAGTTGGGACTTTGTGTAAAATGTGAAGAAAAACAGAATGCAACAATTTTCAAATCTAAAAACAACAAGCATTCTATTCATGACGGGACGTGGCAAACATGTGATATGTTTAAAATAAAAATGTTTTCAGTATTGGGGTAGAAAGGAGGTTAGTTTGAATTTATGTCAGCACCCTGTCTCTTGAGAAGTTGGGATAGGGTCATGTTTAAAACATTCAACCCATTCACAGTTTCCATCTCTGGAAGGTGATGTGACTTCTTAAAGAGTTTCAACCTGCACCCACTGTCTTTATAAACAATGCTTGAAGTGTTTCTGAGCCCATGCTGTGTCCAAAACCAAACAGGACTGTTTTTAACATATGTGCACCAACCCATCCAGGCTGTCATACTGTAAAGTTTGCAGATGATACAGCGGTGGTTGGATGCATCACAAACAACGATGAGTCCAGCTATAGACAGGAGGTGGAACACCTGGAGAGATGGTGCAGGAAGAACAACCTTCACATCAATGTGAAGAAGACGAAGGAGATGGTTGTGGATTTCAGAAGGAGCAAACATCCCACGCCCCGGAGCATAGGAGGATCTGCGGTGGAAGTGGTCTCCAGCTATGAGTACTTGGGTGTACACATGAATGACAACCTCAGCTGGAGCAACAACACCACCAGCCTGATCCAGAAAGCTCAATAAGGTGAGCTGGTCTGGGAAGCTCAGTCCTCACCTCCTTCTACAGGTGTGCAGTGGAGAGCATCCTGTGCTCCAGCATCAACGTGTGGCATGGAAGCTGCACAGCTGCAGAAAGAAAAGCTTTGCAGAGAGTGGTGAAGACTGCACAGAAGACTGTTGGAGTCAGCCTTTACACCTCTAGATGCAGGAAGAGGGCCACCTGCATCATGAAGGACCTCACTCACCCAGCACACACACTTTTAGTCCCGTTCCCCTCAGGCAGAAGGTTGAGGAGCATTAAGTGCAGAACCACTAAACTGAGGAACAGCTTCTACCCTCAAGCTGTTAGACTCATGAATCTCTAACCAGGATAATCATTGTGGGGAAAAAAATCACTGTAATGCCACTTTAATTGGAGATATGTCCATCCTTTATCTGTGCTGCTGATTTGTTGCCTTTATGCTGCTGTACTCACATCCTTCTGCTCGCTACAGACTCATGTTCCGGCTGCCGTTTAATACACCGTATTATATTACATTATTATTGTTTAGCGTATATCTTAGCTCCTTGTATACTGTTTCTTTTTATACGTTATACGTTTGCTGTTCTTGGATGTAACTGGGACCTTGAGTACACAATTTTGTTCCACCTCATGTACCACATGTGATGCGAATGACAATAAAGAACCTTGAACCTTGACCCGTTTAACGCAGCGCCGCCCAAAGGCCAAAAGATCTCATACTGACTTTTATCTTTGACCTTTGAGCTCAAAGATTTCTCCAGATTATTTAAATATTTTGATGATAAGAACTCTAGATGATGGGAAATGGCAAAGTGTTCCCAATTTCCATTGCAGAATAATTCCAATGTTGTTATAATATTTAGACACAGACTGGTGAACCCCTGCCCATCTTTACTTCTGAAAGACTCAGCCTCTCTGCCTGGTCCTCTTACTGACCTGATGCCTATTAACCTAAAAATACTCCTTGAGCTGGTTCTTACCACTTACATTCACACGCTTCTGCGTTTTCAAAGATGTGTTGTTGCTGTAAAATTCAAAAGGATCTTGTTTTTGTTCAAAATTGTATTTTTAAGTTTAAAAGTTTGGCATGTCGACAATGTTCCACTGTGAATAAAAAATGGGTTTGTTGGAGCTGGGAATCATTACATTCTGTTTTTATTTAAACTAACATCCCAACATTTTTTTCTTTCTTTTACCTTTTGGCTTTTCCCTGCACGGGTTTCCACAGCAATTCAATTCCCTCCATCTCACTCTGTCCTCTCTCCAACTACCTCCATGTCCTCTCTAACTGCATCCACATATCTCCTCATCTTTTTCCTGGCAGCTGCATTTCTAACCTCCTTCTACCAATATACCCACTGTCCCTCCTCTGGACATGTCCAAACCATCTCGGTCTGTCCTCTCTAACTTTATCTCCCAGTTGTTCAACCAGTGCTGTACCTCTGATGATCTCATTCCTGATCTTATCCATCCTTGTCACTCCTAAGGAGAACATCACCATCTTCATTTCTGCCACTTCCAGTGTAGCTCATGGCCTACGTCGATGAAATAAAAAACAAACATCACTAATAAGACATTTTACAAAAGGTCTAGCCAGAATTAATTAATTTGCTATCATTTTTTATCTTGTTTACCCAAAACTGGACAAAGTATTAGAAGCAGGTTTTGCAGTAAATGCAATCTGCCTGCAGGGTGCAATGTTTCTATCTAAACCTAGAGCTTTCAGGTCTTATTGTGTTTAGTCTGACGTCACACTCAGCTTCCTTTAAAGCTTTGCCTGAAATGCTACAGTGGCTGAAAAACATAAAGGCTTCATGTGAAGTTGAAATCTTTGTATACCCTCTGAGCCTCTAAATGATTTGTCCAACCTCAGGTACAGTTGGTTCCTCGCCCTTATCTTCACACAAACAGCCACTGCAGAGCTGGGAGCCAAAGTCATGACTGACTGACTTCTGCAGCGAAACATGCAGAAGTCTTACAAGAACCAGTAAAGTGTGAAAGAGGAACAAAAATAGAATCTAAACGTCTTGAGAATTGTTTTCTTTTGTTCCCTTTGGCTGCACCAGCCAGGTAACAATCATCAGGTCTCTCTTAATATAAATGCGTCCTGTAGGCTCAATGAGACTAACCTGTATAAATAAAGGTTGAAATGAATCTGATGCATTTTCAATAAAGCCATTTTTTCTATGTAAAAAAAAGCATTTTTATTCAAACTACTTTCTTTTTATTAGTTATGGGTTTAGTTAGGATCAAGTGCAGCAGAATAAAACAGCAACTACCAAAATAATGGACCTCACAGATGAAACTTTGTAACTGCTGGTTCAATTTAAGCCAGTCTTGTAAAAAACAGGAAGTGAAAGTTCTGAACTACTAAAGAAATCGTTTTTTTTTTTTGTTTGTTTTTGTTTTTTTGTTGCAAAAATTCAGTGTGAACGCTTAAAGCTGAATGACTTTGCTATACAAGCTGAAACCGAGTGCGAAAGTAAAACAAGCACACTAAAAGCAGCAAAACACAATGTAACAGCTAAATACAGACAAAGACTAACTAGATACTAAAAGTAGCAAAAGGCTAGCAAAGTGTCACATGACAAGCTACAAGTACCTAAAGGTTCGCTAAAGGCTAAAATATCAAATGGGCTATAGCTATCAGAATAAGACAAAAAAGAGCAAGTTCAAGGTTCTTTATTGTCATTTGCATCACATGTGGTACATGAGGTGGAACAAAATTGTGTACTCAAGGTCCCAAGTGCTACAAGTTTATCCTGTCTTTCAGAGAGGAGACCCCAAGAGAGACCCAGAACCCACTGGACAGATTAGATGTCTTTTCTGGGCTGAGGACGTCTTTAAAGGATGTCTTCAATTCAACTTTTGATAGTGGGTTATGGATGGATGGATGGATGGATGGATGGATGGATGGATGGATGGATGGATGGATGGATGGATGGATGGATGGATGGATGGATGGACGGATGGATGGATGAATGGACAGATGGATAGATGGATGGATGGATGGATGGATGGCTGGCTGGCTGGCTGGCTGGCTGGCTGGCTGGATGATGGATGGATGGATGGATGGATGGA